CAATAGGCAGCAATATCTCTGATCAAATATAAACGTGCTTTAACTATTTCTCCCATTTTATTCCCATGTTTTTTTGTTGTTGTTGTTTTTTCTGTAAGACCCCGACCACCAATACAGTAGTGTTAAAAATGAACGTACACCACGTTTCACGTCAAGGCTTTGAGATTGCGACGTTTGATCTAATCTGTTACGAAAAGAAATTCTTTTCAAATTTGCTCGGGAACATTTTATCCCCCTCAAACGACTTTCTGTCTGTGTGGTTTACGTTGAATAAAATCGTAACATTCAGATAAAATATCTCTTAACCCTCCCGTTGTCCTCGGCTCATGTCGACCGAGGACAAGCCCTTGAAAAATATGTTTTTCAATTGCAGCTGCATACAGAAACTTTAATCTAACAGTCCTGCATCAGAACTACGGTGTGCACAACTCAGGGGGAAGTTTAGGCTCAAGCAATTCAAATGTGAACTTTACAAAAGAAATAAAGATAACCAAACCCAGGCCTCAGGTCAGACTGACCGGAAGACTAAGGAAATTACAGCTGGACAGGCAAACAGTATGGAATGGCATCATTGATCTCCGTAAAACTGATATCTTTTCAAAATTCCCCCCCCTCCTGTTGCCCTCGGGTTGACATGACCCGAGGACAAGCCCTTATAAAACATTTTTTTAATTGCAACTGCATACAGCAACTTGAAATCTAACAGTCCTGAATCAGACCTACAGTGTTCACAACTCAGATGGAATTTTCTGCTGGAGCAATTCAAATGTGAACTTGACGAAAAAAATAAGAATAACCTCCTGTTGTCTTCGAGTCAAAATGACCCGAAGACAATAGGAGGGTTAATGCTCACCATCTTTTCTTACTAAAATAATTTTGAAGAAACAGGTTTTAATAAACAACAAAACAAGAAGCAGGAAGTCATTCTGTAACAGAAAATGCTTCTTGACCTTTAAGACAGTAGATTTTCGCCTTACGCCAGATTAATATCTACTCCTTCTAGTGTTTCCTCTGTGATAATATCTTTGGGCTCATGTTTCTATGAAAACAAAGTGAGCAAAACAAAGAATGAAAATAATTCTTGGAACTGATCATTTGATTGGAGCATCTATGTTTAGAGGAAAGAATGAAATTCCCCCCTTGACACCTTTGGTGACGTTTTAACTTCTCTCTTTGGTGCAGCTCAGCCACAAACTCTGATACAATCTCAGGTTGTTTTTTTTTCTTCTTTTTCCTTTTTTTTCTGTGAAAAAGGTGAGCTCTTGCAAATACACAGTAGTAAATGTCACTCGCCAGATGTCAGTGCTGATATGAGAACTACTCATCTGACGTGGCAGTGATCTCCAGCTCTGTGTATTCACCCTGTGGGATTTGTTTATTATATTGAGGGCTATGAAAACAATGCCCTGCGAACATATTGTCGCCCCTTGAACGTTTACACACCTTGTGGCAAACTTTGATGCATCTTGTCGGCATTGTGTGTGACACAAAGTACAGCATGAATATTTTCTAAAGTTCTACATTTTTTGTAAACCAACGTCTGAAAAGTGTGCTTTCTGTATTCTGATACCCCTAAATAAAAAATCACGCACAACTAATTGACTGTAGAAGGCACCAATTTAGTCTCAGTATTAATCCTGTTGTTCTGTGAAGGGCTCAGAAGGTTAACATGTTATGACTCATGAGTTTGCAGAACCAGACAGCAGGGGTTTCAGACAAGCGCTGAAGCAAAACTGCTGTCTCGTAACACTTATTTTTGTTGTTGTAAATATTTCATTAACAATAAGTTACTGTGCTATAAAGTTTAAAGTGTGTTTTTTTTTGTGTAAAAGTGCCCTCTGGTGAGCATACTTGGAAATTATCTGAAAAAATGCTTGAGATTTTAGAAGAAAGTGGATGTGAGGCAGTCACTTTGTTTTCGTTCTCTTTTTGACTAAAAGACGTCGGGGTGTTTGATTTTTGCTGAAAGAGAAAAGCGCAGTTCAGAGTTCACCAGACTGTATGAGGTAAGCATTCCTTCTATTCGTCAAGGACAGACGCACAAGAACGTGCTACGGATCAGAAACACTGCAATTAAAAATCAAGCCAATTAACGTGAAGCAAAAGAAGCTGGATTTCTTTTAACAATAAAGTGACTTGAGGTTCAAGCAGCCACTGCAAGCCAGGTGATGAAGGACTGAATGAAAAATCTGACGCATGCTTACAGGGAAGGCATGAGACGAGCAGGGCAAGAGGATAAAACTGATGAAACCGGCAAGGAGCAATAAAAACCCAGAGAGCGTAAACACAGAGGAGCGGCAAAGAGTGACACTGAAACCAAGTGAGTTTAATCAGGGAAAAGGTGAACAGCTACGGCAGAGTACTTGAGTAAGACCGCTGATGATGATTATCAGAAAACAAACACGAGCAAAAAGCAAAATGCAACAAAAACTCCCATGGGCTACATGTTAACATTAGAGAACATGAGGACTGTAAAAAGTTACGGCAAGGTTAGCTGTGAAAGTGTAGATGAGTTAAAAACAATATCCCAAGGTTTGAACATTTGTTTGAACACTGTTGAGTGTATTGTTGACAAAATGAAAAGGACATGTCACAATGAAAGGTGCAATCAAGATGCACACTTCCACTTAAACTGAAAGGCTGCAAAAGAAGAACAACAATCAGAGAACTAGCCTGACTAACTAAATATGTGGTAAGAAAAAAAAATGCTTCACATCATCCTAAACACTCTATCCAGATGGTTGAACATGGTGAAGAACAACTTGTGAGGACGCTTCAGCAGAAGGAGTGACGCTGGTTAGAGCTAATACAAAGATGGATTTGAATACAGGGCAGGAAAAAACACTCGTCCCAGTCGAAGTCTGAATGCATCTGAGAATTAGCAGCAAGGAACTTAGGCAAAAATATGATCATGAGCGAAACCGGGTGAGACGTGTTCTGCCGCAAATGATGCGCAGCTGGACGTTTGGTGGTTTCTACAACCACCAAAAAGTGTCAATTCAGATATTTCAAACTTTCAACTAAAATAAGTTTAAAATACATATTTGAACCTATTTTAAACTTATTTTAAACTGACACACACTTCAGATTTTTATTCATGTAAAAAAAAAATCTGGAAAGCATGCATTGTTTACCTTCTGAATGGTCCATATGTTCTGCTCTATCACAGGAAATGTCAGTTCTGACATAATCTGATCCAAGACATAAAAGTCTGTGGTTATAGCAAAAAGATCAAAGGGCAACAACACAAGTGTTTTTTGCATTTGTTATAAAGAGTTTTACTAAAAGCTTCTGTGCAAATATTGTGTGACATTTATTATGTTTTATATACTTTTTAGATAAATGGTTTAACATAATTTTGAAATAAAACATATCAGAATCAGGCTTTATTTTCCAAGTACGCTCATTGTTCACACATGAAACCTAACACACTTTTACACACGCACGCATGCACACACGCACGCACACGCACGCATTCACACACACCTAAATGCACACGCACTCACACACACTCACAGAACTTTAAATACCTGAAGTAATTAAATAAAGTAAAATGGTTCCCCTTGTAATATCAGAATCTGCGTTTGGGATGATTCATACATTGATACAAGAGAACACTTCTTTGTTCCTGACAAAAAAGAGGAAGTGACAATTTGTTCATTTTTTCACACGTCTCATATTGCAACAGACCAAAAACGAAATAGATAGACACCTGGGATTCTACTCTAGGACATTTTACTCTGCAGGTTTTGGTGGAGATTTTCATTGGCTAACATTGATTTGTGATTATTTTTAACTTCGCTTTTTCTTTGCACCGTTTCTCTGGTCTAGTGCTTGCTTCAGCTGTGATTGAAACTTTAGCGGTGTGAATTGGTGAGATACGGTTCTTAGCTTTCCACTTTTTGACTCTAATGTTATTTCAAGATTTGCATTTCATTTTCTTAATTATTATTATTATTTTAGAAAATTGCATAGCCACAGCTGGTCCCTCTACTCACAAAAGTCATTTGTTCCACAGTTTTCTTAGACACTTAATTTACTTCTACATTGGTACCAGTTAGCTTTTAGCCTCCAGCAAAACCACCGAAAACTGGCATGTGAAGCACAAAAAAGATTGATCAGATTTTGAATCAGAAATATGTCAACCACAGTTAAAAGACAGATAAAAATAGATGTGTTTTTATATTTGCCTGCAGGTGAGGATGGCGGTATGACACATTTGGCTGTTATGATACTGGGATTTGCACGTTGGTACAGTTTTCAAATCTGGTCTTTTTGAAACCACAAACATCTGCCAATGCACTCTGACTGTTCTTCAATAACCAGAGATGCAAATAACTGGAAAAAAGTAACTGACTCAAATTATTTGCTATAATATGTCTCAAACACCAAGCTCTGACAACTGATCCATGAGGTACAACAAAGATAAAATCGGCAGGCAGATTTCAACATCCTGTTTCCTTTCTTTTTTTTTGTGCAGCTTAGTGCTAGACACACAAAAAAGAAGCAGGTATTAATCCTTTAATTTACTTTTCTGTTACCGTTGGCAAAAAGGGGAAACAGGCATTGGCACTTTAAGATAGCTTCCCTTTATTTCAGTAAAAATCAAATATTACACTGACATATCCAGGAAATATTATCTATACAGATTACTACACACAACATTTTATTTTTGTACAAAAAGATAAAACGGATAAAACAGAGCATTTAACTTAAATGACAAATATCTCTTTCTTGGTTTTTCTGGTGTTCCAAGCATCTTGAAGAACACGTTACGTTCCTCAGTGAAATTATTCTGTTTAATTAATCCAGTGCATCAAAATGGTACAAAGTCTGAAAAAAAAAATGCTTGAAGGAACAACATGTTGCTGCTCAGAGGAACCATCTCTGAATCTGTGAGATTCTGAGATGGTGAATGATTCGAGTAAGAACAAGTAATCATTTATGGTGATGACTGTGAGGGTTATGCATAATAAAGAATTAATATATATATATATATATTTTGTTCAAATGAAATGTAAAAGCTGTCCAAAAGTTGCCTGAAGAACTAAGCTCTATGCACCTGTTGTTTAACGGCCATCAGGAACAGAAAGAAAAACACTGTTTTAACGCATCAGTCACAAAAATCATAATTACATGTTTTTTTTCCCCAATACTCCATATTTTTATGCATTGCCATGTACACCCTTTGATATGAGAGTAAGCTATACAAGGCAGAGACAACAGCATAATAAATAAATAATTATTCAAAACTTATAAGACCTTGTTCTCCTTTGGGTTTTGTCTTCTGCTTTATGAAGCATGGGGAACACACACAAAAATAAATCCAGATAATCATTGGGAAGTAAATAAAATGTCACTTTCCTGAACCAGTTAAAGTAACAAACGATTTCTTCTCATGTCGTATTTCAAGTGGGAATAGAACATGGAGGAACGCTAGCAGAGTCTTTGCTGAAAATCTCCAAAAAAAAAAAAAAGAAGAGAGATATATTTACAAGTTAAAGACTGTTTCCAAGTTTTACAAAGAGCGAAAACAAATGTTTCAATGTCTACTGTTTTTCAAGGCAGTACGCATTAAATTGTTTTTTTTAAATGTTAAAATATTGGGTTTTGGTGTAAACTGACCCAAAATCCAGTAAAAAGATTTTCTGAGTGAAAGTCTTAGATAACCTTGCCATCATTTTAGGACCCTCTTCCTTCAAAACTGCCTTTCTTCTTTGTGGCACAAGTCTCACATATTTTGGGCCATATCAGCATATTAGCACGATGGCATCCATTATGCAAATGTCCCACCACATCCCAAAGGTGTCCTGTCCTGTCCTGTTTGCAAACACATTTTAGAATCGTTTCAAAGTTCAAGAAACTTTGAGACAATGAGAGCTTTGTGACATGGATCGAGCACCATGGTTGGTCCTAGAGGAATGGACATTGCCAGCAACAATACCTGAGTGCACTGTAACATTTAAGCAATGATCATAATACAAATACATTTGTTGAACTGTGGTGTCATGATTGTGTTGACAAAAATCTACCTCCGAGGATCCAACATCTCAATGTTTTTTAAATTGTGGCTTCGCCTGCCTGTTTTTTGCAGGCAGTGCCACCCGGTGGGGTTTTCCATAGCATGTCGGCATTCAGAGCAAACTTCCACTTGTGAGCGGTTATCTGAGCTGCTGTTGCTTTCCTGATATCTTAAACCAGTCTGCCATTTTCCTCTGACATCAACACCCCACTTCCACCCACAGAACAGCCTCTCACTGGTTGTTTTCTCTATTTTTTGATGAATTTCTGTGAGCAACAGAGAGAGCCCTGTGAGTGAAAATCCCATTAGTTCAGTAGTTTCTGAACATGCCCAGAGGAGCCGGTCTCACACCGAAACCATGCCACATTCAAAGTAACCTAAATACAGTTTTCTTTTCCTGTCCTGCTGCGTGGTTTATTATTAACATTGCATTTTATTATTCAAATAATCACTGTTGGGGTTAAGGTCTACTGTCTACAAAAATGTTTATGCTGGTTTAAGTAATGAGTAATATCTTACATTAAATTAACACACAGTAATTGTTCTTGAAAAATGTACAAAAGAATATGCCTCACATAGGTTTGGATGCCTCCTGTTGACCATCAGTGGGGCATTTTAGGCACTGTCCATGTGTAAAGACATTCTGTATGTGCTGAGTTCCCTACTTTGGTCATGCTCATGCGATTTCCTTTCCATGAGCCTCTCGCTGTTGTGTTGCACCTTGTGTCCGTCGATGAAGTCCTTTGAGGAACCTTCGGGCGACGTCCTGACTGCACTAGAAAAGGAAATGCTGACCTGCCTCTTTAGCAGCTTCAGGAGTTTTCTTTTGTATCCCTTGCAGGCGAAGAAGTAAATGAATGGATCCAAGCAGGAGTTTAAGTTCATCAGACAGACCGTGATGTGCAGCGAGACTTGAAAGGCCGTGAGCTCCGCACAGTCAGGGTTGGAGACCAGCTTGCGGATCATGTACTGAAGGATGTCAATGTGGTAGGGGCTGTAGCAGATAATGAACACCACAGACACGCAGCAGATCACGCCGATGGCCTTGCGACTGCGGCCATATTTTTCTGTCAGATGGTTATTCTTGGCTGTGAGATGCAGCTTGGAGCTTAAGAAGGAGTAGCAGACCAGTATGGTGACCACGGGGATGATGAAGCCCAAAAAGACTGCGCCAATCAGGATGGTTGCAATATTATCCACCTTTTCAAAGTTGGGGTATTCCATACAGGTGGTGAAGTTTTGAGGCTCCCTATTTGTCATGTCCATTCCTAGTAGGGGGAGGGTCTGCGCCAGAACCAACATCCACACGCCAATACAGATGTAGCGGACGTTACTGACTTTCCTAAATTTACCAAAGCGAAGAGGCAAGACCACGGCGATGAAACGGTCCACACTGAGGCAAGTCATGAAATTGACCCCTGCGTAGGTGTTGATGTAGAACAAAAAGCCTGATATCTTGCAGAGCGCCTCACCGAGAGACCAGTGGAAACCCTGGGCATAGTATATGATCCTCAGAGGCAAAGAGAGAGTGAAGAGGATGTCAGAGATGACTAGGTTGAGAGAGTACATTGTGGTGGAGTTCATTTTCTTCAGGTTTATTTGGATAACATGGAGGGCGAGGGCATTGCCAAGCAACCCAACAGTGAACACCACGCAGTAGAAAATAGGTATGAGGACCCGGGCGTATTTCCTATGGTCATACAGAGTGTCACATGTGCTGTTGGTTATGACGGCCATGCTTGCAGGTGCAGACGCAGAACCCATCTGCAAGCCACAGGAACCGATTACTGCAAAGAGGAAGCAAAAAATTTGTCAAAGTAAAATTTTTAAGAAGTCGGAGTAAGTTTTGTTTTTATTTTTGTATCACCTTCAAGTCAGAGACATTACTAAGCATGCATGAACGGATGAAACTCCTGCCTTGTAAGATCTCCAGTAGAACACATGCAAATTTACAAATTTAACACCTTTGTTCTCAGAAAGGAAGTCAAGAAGCCACATGTTTTTTTTTTTTCTCATTTTCTCTTTTTCTGACAAACAACTGGAAAATGACATTTTCTACGAACGTGCACATGACACTTGCAGTTGTCGTGTGCTAATTTCTTCCTCTAAAACGAAAAGCGATACAACGACACTTATTTTGGTAACAAGAAAATGAGTTCCATTAACTATTAGACATAAATTAGGGTTTTGATTTAAATTGTACCCAACGAGTTAAACTAAATGAAACAGATAAAGCAGTAGTTTAAAGCCACTAAAAACTTCATATAGGGCAACCCAGCATGGAGTTGTAGGGCATACCATGTGCACACTATGTGCATACCAGGTGCTGGAAATCCGAATTTTCAGTTTGGTGGAAATTCGGAGTTGTTTTATTACAAAATTGCGCCATCTTGTGGCTCTTTTTGAACAAAGCAACTCTTAATTATTATTATTATTATTATTATTATTATTATTATTATTATTATTATTATTATTATTATTATTATTATTATTATTATTATTATTATTATTATTATTATTATTATTATTATTATTATTATTATTATTATTATTATTATTATTAATTTATTTATTTTTTTTTAACCGTTTTACCAATAAAAGTAATTAAACATTTGCAAGTTGAAGATAAAACAACAGTCAAAAAGAAAAAAAAAACGAGAAAAAAAAATGAAGTGAAATAAAAAGCTCAGAAATGCATTTCATTTTATTTCACGGGAGGAAGCACAGCTCTGTTCGCTCTGAACTGTACAGAAAAAGAAGGAAGAGGTTTTCAAGCATTCGTGCTGTTATTATTATTATCTAATAGCTATATCTACAACAGTGCTGCAATAAATGAGACTAAAACCGCGAGTGTCAGACTGGACATGGTCACACATGAATCCAACGCATTTATTGACATGACTGACTTACACACCTGGTTGCTGATGTTGATTTTTTTTTTTTTTTTTTTTTTTTTTTGTTTAAACAGCAAACAGTAACTCAAAGAAAGTAAAAAAAAAAAAAAAAAAAAGAATAAAAAAACAAAAAATACTGTTACAGTAATTCCGCATGCAGCTGCCACATTGTCACCCCCCTGTCCCTCCCCACCCACCGGCAAAACAACGAGGTGTTAAGTGAAACAGCCTTGGGGCCTGAGGAAGCTCACTTCCCCGCGGCGTGGTGGCACAGAATCTGGACGATGGAAAGTTGCATTGTTTCGGCCAGAGCAAACAATCGGCTGCAGGATATTCGCTTTTGCTTTATAGGCTGGCGCAGAGACGCGCTTCCTGTCCCACAAATAGCAGCAAAACGCGGTGGCATTGTTCTCCGCATGGCGATGGAATAACGTGCCCGATTTAGGCGCTTTGAAAGGTGCGGTTCAAAAAGAGTCGCAAATACTCTCTGGATGAAATTAGAAGCTAATAATAATAATAATAATAATAATAATAATAATAATAATAATAATAATAATAATATAATAATAATAATTAGGGAATGTACATCCTAGAAAGAGGTTAAAAAAGCAGATTAATTATGTTTCCTTTAGGAGTGTCATGGTAATGAAAGGCAGGAAACTTTAATATGACGAGTAAAAGGTTCACTTTCACCACACGGTGACCGTGAGAGCCGTAAAGTGTGGAGTGCGCGGCTCACCTCACAGATGGAAACTCCTGCCGTCCAGAAGCGCTGAAATCACATGGAGCCGCGGGACGTTTTGTCCGAAGTTCATCAGCTTCGATTAGTCGAAGCGCAGCAGATCTCACTGGCTGGCGTGGAAACAGAGCCACATTCAGAAATCAAGATAGGTATCTGCTGCCAGTAACCATAGTTACAAAATATCCTGTAGTAGATCGATCTCTCTCTCTCTCTCTCTCTCTCTCTCTCTCTCTCTCTCTCTCTCTCTCTCTCCACCTCTTTCACTTTTGCGAGGGTTTTGAGTGATGATCGCCTCCCCTTACTGATAAAAATCCGAAGGGGACTGAACAAAAAATCCCGATGACGCCTTTATCTCTTCTTCTGCGTGGGTTCGAGAAGTTGTCCGTCTTCGGTCCACGTCTGGAGAAGAGACGGTCTGGGTGTCGGATCGGACAGTGCGGTGTGCCATGTGTTCCCTATAAGAGGAGGATGTGGCTTCAGTCAGGCTGCTGACTCTGTTCAAATTATTTTTTCTTTCTTTTTTTTTTTTTGAGGCAATGTCTGGGTTCTGTTCGAACAGTCTGTCCTTTTAAGTTGACATACTGATTTCACAACGTTATTTTACAACTTTAACACAGCACTCTGTCGTATCACACTAACTTGAAATGCAGAGTTCCTCCAGATTAGACACATGAGAAAAGAGGGAAGTCCCCCTTCAGCAGCAGGCTGTCTTTGTTTTAGTGTTTTGAGCTGAGCTGGATAATCAGAGACAAATCAGCTTTTGTCTGAATGCCTATGAAATAATTAATTCCCCTTCTATATGTCATGGCCTTGTCAATTTCAAGTGAAAATAAGTTCTTGGTAAAACAAACTTAAGAGACACTTAACCCTGTGTTTGGTACACAAATGATCCTGTAAATTTATAGTAGAGTACTGGCCGCCACACAGCATTTCACTGTAAATCCACATGATTTGTACTGCAACTTATTCTGACAGTAGGTTCCTGTCGAAGTGAGTACAGTACGGATATTCAGCTGCCGATAAATGATAAATGTTCATCGAGTGGAGATGACAAATGAACTAATTACAAGGAACTGACTGCAGCTGAGGCTAAATGCAAAGAACAAATCCAAAACTGAAATGAGAAATAACTGAACTAACAGAGGGAATGACCTCAGATCATAATAAGGAATCGATACAAGGAGGTAACAGAAGCTAAGTCCAAATTGATAGGGGATCATTACAGCGGTGGCAGCGCTAGCGTCTGTTATCTGTAGGTTAAGTGGGATGTGCAGCTAATGAGCTACCTTCAGGTCACAAGACCTTTAGAAGGGCAGCAAACTTCAACAGCATTACTTGCACAAACTCTGAGGTTTACCGAGACGAGTTAACCACCTCTGCTTATGGAGGAATCCAGAAAAACCATGTGTGAAGAACTTATAAAGATTAACTGCTGGAACTGCTTGGAAACAACAAGAGACGCCATTGGAGGGCATGGATGATAACAGGAAACTCTGACTCTGAGGGGATACCAGGCATGTGGCTACAGACCCAAGAATCCTGAACAACATTATTTTACAATGGACAGCAAAGATGCTGTGAATAAATTGGAGCAGAGGATACCAAGGGCATTGATAAAGCTCCAGAATGTGACCGGCTGGATGTGCAAATTACCCAGGAAGCTCTTCAAGGTTATCCTGGTCCTGAAGAGCTTCCTGGCCAAGGAAGTAGGTTATTTTGGAACACTTTGGAAGTTCTTCCAATTTTCATTTCCCTTCCAGTTTCTCGGGAAGGGGAAAGTTGTGAACGATTATGTTGATCTTCTGCACTGTTTTAATATTTGTAGTTCATCTATAGTTATAGTTTGGCAATGGGAGCGGAGAAGGTGAACAAATCCATTCATTCTAGTTGAAGCCAGACCAAGAGAAATATTTCAGACATTTTATTGTTGGCAAAGATGTTGTTCGAGTTGATACGTCTCTCTTCACAGTGGGGGATGCTTATTAGCCAGTGAGTAAGTGTGCACTAAACAAGCACACTTGCCTTTGTGCTTGTACTTTATGGGCAAGCAGGCACATTGTATACCTAAACACTAAATATTAATGATTGGATAAAATCAGATCCAACTTAAACAGAAAGACATCTCCAGGAATCAATTGCTTCTCAATAGTCTGGCTTAATATCTTTGATAAGTTTATAGATACAGAATAAAAATAAAACGTTTCATTTTTTTCTGAAAACACTTCTAAAGCTAGTTCAACTCTTACTTGCATTGATTTCGTTTAGTAGTTTGAGGTCTGTCAATCATCAACGCCATCGACAGAAACAAGAAAACCTGAGAACATCAGAAGATAATTGTGGCAAAACATTTAGACAAAAAAGGGATACAAGTTGGATTTCATTTGAATTTTCATTCCTTATTAATTTGGCTTTAACATTCGGCTAAAACTTCTGCTTCAATAGTTCCGTATAGAGATTACTTTGGTTGCTAGCGAATACATTATGTTAATAAATAAACATTTTAATTGAATGTTTTTGATGATTTTAGACCAATAATCAAACGTATTCTCAAGTTTGCTCAGCAGTAAAATAAACGCTATTACATTGCCATTTTCACCCAGCACAACTTGCACAAAAGTGTCTTTGCGTGGTTTTAACACCTTGAAATCACTCCCGCCCTTTTTTTGGGTGCTGCGAAGATGTGCTCAAAAACAAAATGTGCAGATTAAATGCATGTGTTGCACGAGAATATCTCGAAGGTTTTTCTTTCTTTTTTTTTTTTTTTTAAAAAAAAGGTTTAATAGACACACCTTGCACATAACCTGTGCAGGTGTGAGAAAAAAAAAACCCAAATGCTTTTGCTCCAAAAAAACACAACCAAATAAAAAACTGGAGAATTTTTCAAAACATGGGCAGAATATTTCAACATAAACATTTACTTATGTAGTGACCACAAACTTCTTTTGTTCAAAACAACTTTGGTGGTGAGTGAGAGGAAGCAGTATGACTTCCTCATGGCCAGGCCATGTGCTTCTGAGTCATGGAGGCTCAGGCGGCTGTGTCACACCCACCGTTGACTGACAACCCAAAAAACAAAACTGTAGCCACCGCTGTTATTTTATTGTGAATAGTGATGTTACACTAAAGAAATAGTCACACATATTTTTTCGTTGCTTTTTTTTTTTGTTGTTGTTAAATGTAATTTTTTTCCAGTAAAATGAATTAATATTAAGTCTTTTTCCTAAAGGAGCTCGAACCATAGTTGGGGTGTGGGGGGGAAATAAACAAAATCTATCTTCAAAGGACGACCAATCCTCAGGCCCATTTGATGATAGTCTGCATTCTGCACATCCTGTATTTGGTAAGGGAAACTTTTGAGAGAGAGCAAAACACCTCAAAAAGGATTTCCTCCTGAGCAAAAACCTACAGTTGTGCATTGCGTATGGATGTCCTGGTATTTCAGCTCCCTCCCGTAAACGCAACAACGTGACTTAGGGCACTGACTCAAGGCCCCACGCCTTCCACAACCTGCAACCCAGCAGTACACCTTTGCAGACTTCTGCCCTTCAATTTAGAACAACATGATCACAAACAGAAATCAGAAAAAAAAAAAAAAAAATCTGAAATCTTCCATGACTATAAGAAACCTCTCTGCTTTCTCACAAGTTGTGCTGTCACCCAAAATGAAAATATTCAGAAACCTGCTTGGAAATAAAGGCCACGATAATCTGACGGAAGGTTTTTCTGATGTTTTTTTACAATGTGGCTTTCAGATATGATTGCAACAGAACAGGAAACATCTGTGGTACAAGATTTTCTTAAAAAAATAAAAAAGAGAGAGAGAAAAAACTGTTTTATAAAACATACATCAGCCATTAGCAGCATGATGCTGGTTTACGGTTTGATAAATTAAAACAAGAAAAGAGCTGGACTCATGCAAGTGAGTACAGACCTTTAATCTGCTTCCTGAGCAGATTATATATATATATATATATATATATATATATATATATATATATATATATATATATATATATATATATATATATATATATATATATATATATATATATATATATATATATATATATATATATATATGTACAAAAAACAAACTAGTAACTGTGCAGATTCACACCTACCAGTTCCCATCTCAACCGGAAAGAGATAATGATCAAAACTGTTTGATGAAACTAATATGAACACCTTCAAACATCTGTTTTCCCTGTAGTCGAAAAATGGACACTGAAAATGTAAATAAATACAATATAAACTTTGCATTGGACTGCAGGCCGTTTATAGTGGTAGGCATGTCCCAGTTACACCACGGCTTGGCGGGACCTAATTTCACTTACGGCACAGGATGTGTTGACACAACATCATTTGTGAAATTATCAGAAGACATCCTGTTTTCTGCTTTGTAATAATTTCAAATCATTATGTGTTGTAGCCATACTGCACTCTCCTCTGGGTCGTGACAGGTACTGCGCCTGCGGAGGGTTCAGCTCGTTATCCACTGTACAGTGTGTACAGTAGGCACTTCTGTTGTAACATGTGGAAGGCACAGGATGGCAGCAGTGTTATTCCTGTCCTCTACCTCTTGACATAAGAACGTTCGGTGAATTTAAAGGGATAATTCATACTTAGTCATTTTTTTCCGGCCCAGCAGTTTTCTGGTCTGATCGCTGAGTTGATATCTGATCATTTTAGATCATTTAGATTGTGTGCAAAAATGATATCTCTTCTATTTCATATCTATTCAATGAAATTATGTTATATTACAGAACTACAGAGCCATCTCTTATCCTCTGCTTGGTATCAGAGTTTGAATTTAGAGCAGTTGCTTTTGTAATAGTGCACAATTAAATAAATGTAACTGTTGCACAGATCTGTTTATTTCTGTAAGTTATGTCCCACGAAGCAGCATTTAGTGAGGTCCTCTTGAAAACAATGCAATCTTGTGCTGATAGGGTCACCTTGACACATCAGTAATATTTCATTATGACTGATGTGATGAAAATGCATTCTTCCAAATTAACTTTTAAGAAATTACAAGTTAATTTGGTAGCAAAGTTTAATGGGACAGTTTGTACTTTGTGTGCTTTTAAATCAGTTTGCAGTTAGAAAGTTATTATTTTGTAAAAGAAATGGTTGGTTTTATCTTGACATTAATAGAGAGTGGTCAGTTTTTATAAAGATGAAAGCATAACCATGCAGTATGGTTATGCTTTCTGAAACAACGTAATATCCCTCCGTTGATCCGTTGCGTCGGCCAAGATGTTCTTGCTTCTAACCACCAATTCTTCATCTGTATAGTCTGGCGTGTGCCGATGTTCTCTGATCATCACAGAAAAAAAAAGTCACAATGTTTTTCACTTTCAAAATCACTAATTTTATCTTTGAAATTAAACTTGTGGAACTGAGAGTCTGCCTTTTGTGTCACTATATGACACAAAATCATCATCACAACCTGTAGCATTGTTCCTTTTAGAAAGCGATAACACTGTAAAGGAGCTATCTGACATAAGACAGCCGCATGTTGGAAATCAGCATCATGGTTGGGTTTGACAAATCTGGACAACTGTGTGCAACAAGTAAGATGCTTGCAACCAACTGATGCCATGCTCTACATGGCATCATTTAAGAAAAGGAACAAAAAGGAAAAAGCAAGTTGACTGAGAGTCAAGTAGGAGAACTTCTATTTGTGACGTTGTTGCCTCATTGTTTTGAGGCGTTCACATGTTCTATCTGTCCTTGTCATATTTATGTCTGGGTCTTCTTCTCGTAACGTAAAAGCACGTTACTGTGGTTAAATCGATGCTGAGTTCAGTGAATCACAACAAAGGTCCTTTAAAACAAACAGATCAGGTTTATTAACAGCAACATACTACATATTCAAACTATGCTTTAAAGTTCTTTTTTTTTTTTACATCAGTTCTTAAAAGGCTTAACAAAGAAAACGTGGTCAATTGCATTGCATCACTAACTTTGCAAAAATCCGTCCCCATAATGAACACAAGGAGACACCTGACTGCATCAAGTCGTTCATTTTGCAGAAGTCTCTTATATCACACATGCATGCAACGAACGTTAATGTGAAACTCTATGCACGCGTTTTTGTTTTGTTTTGTGCGTCGCTATGATTGACTGTCGACCTTTACTGGCTGTACTGGCCTCCTGCACACTCATAGCTGAACTAGAACCAAGCTCTGTCCCTAACACAACCCTGAACAAGGTAAAACATATTTGCAACTTGTAGAAATGTTAGGAAACCTCAAAAGGCTGTTTCCTGTTTGAAACCGAATCAGCTTTATCATGGCAAATAACTTGACATATACACAGTTTATGTGTAGCGCTCTGGTGGTACAGTTATGCAAAAGGGTGACAAAATGCAAAAATATGGTCACTATGGTGAAAAAAGAAACTTTTGAATATAACAACAACAAATGTATAATTGTGCAACTTTTCAGATGATAAAATATGTATTTAATTTATTTAGGTGGTAGCCCTGAGAAAATGTTTGACTATCGTGAAGATAGTGATTCAGTTCAATCTGATTTCACCATATAGTTTTCTGTTTGTTATCCAACATAATGTACTGTGAAAATAAGTTTTTTTGCAACATACATCCCATAATGACACCCCAATGTAAATGTCTGACAGCCCCACCTGCAAAAAAAAAAGTCTTTGCAGTGACTGAAGGCATTTTTTTTAGTTCAGTTTCACTATGAACACTTTATTGTGAGACCTGTGGAAAACACTGAAACGGAGTCTGCCTGATGACAGGAAGTGGGTAAAAGAAACTCTCCAAGGAAATTAAACCACAGATCAAAAACAAACCGATGATTAGTGAGTCCCAGCGAGAACATCTCCAAATGCAGAGAACACAAAACAGTAGAGAAATGATTTCACGCGGAAATAAAGCGACCATGACGTTTAAATCATTGAAGACACCTCTTGTGTCCAGGAGGGTCAGGGTTCATAGTTCAATAATAAGAGCTGCTGACCAAGGAGATCAGTAAGGACTGCTTCACGTTTGCCAACACACATCTTGGTAATGCTGAAAATCGTTTCAGAAGCCATTGTGTAAAACTGGTCAAACGCAAATAGAACTATGTGCATCATGTAACAGCTAGACTAAAACAACACATCAGCAGTCAAGCATTGTGGTGGTACGGTGTCTTGATGTGAGATGGCTTTACGTACTTCTACATGACCTAGATGATTTGCAGTAATTGATGTAAGAACGAATTTGACTTCCTGGCAGAATACAGAATATACTGAAGGCTCTGATCCTGCCACCAGCTTCAGCTTAAACTGAAGATCGATTTGATTTTACACAATGATTTGGTTCAACATGAGGGGGGCAGGAGGCTTGAGTGGTATAATCAAAGTCTGGACTTAAGTGGGAACCAGATATTGTTGTGTACTTTGAAGAGATCACCCATGCACAAAAACTCCTCATTATGGATGAATTAGAACCATTCTGCGAGGAAGAGTGGGCAAACATTCTGCACATTGATGTAAAAGACTTTTTGCTTTTTTTTTTGTTGTTGTTGCAAAATTTTGACTGCAGGTGTGAGATCCAAAAAACACAAAAACAATGATCAGGATGGGAGGAGGCTTGGTTTTTCAGACAGGGTCAGGTTGATTCAGACAGATTTTTGAAATTGAATAAATAAAATTATGAGTGAAACAAACAAACAAAAAAAAAACATTAATGCAGTAAAGGTTTTTTGTGACATTATAAATTGTTGATATCCTGATTTATTTTGTAGATAACTCAGTTTTTTTTTCTTCTTTTAAGAAAATAATGTTTGTTAACAAAATGATGGAAGGACATCTACATGGGATCATTTTAGAAAAACAAAGATACTGATAGTGAATTACTAATGTTGTGAGTGAGGTAGAATAAAAGTTCCTCCAAACTACAGTAACCCAGACGTCCATGACCACATACCAACCCTTGTCCTTGAAAGGATAAACCAGAAACGATAAAATTGGCTTGTACTAAAATATAATGAACAGGAAATATATCAGCAGCAGTAGTTATTCTGATAGCTCTAAAATTGATGCATTTATCAGAAAATTATCAGACAACCCATTTCAGAAACCCGACCGCCAACATTCGTGCCAATGCACTAAGCATATGAGTAAGTGGATGGAGTGGGGGCAAAAGGCTCACATGACATTTAACGTAAACCTACCTCTAAAACGAGGCAACGCATCTGTTTCATCTAACAGAAGTTGTTAACCTTTTTCCAGACAGATGTTATGAAACTGACTCATTTCATTATGTAAGATGAAAAATACAGCATTATTTGACCAGGTCTACGTTTTTATTTTTTTTTATTTTAGAATAGCCAGTAAAAATGTTTCATGAAACTATGCTATTTAGCATTGACAGCTTTCTGAGTCACCAGTAAATGTGTCACTGGATCTCCAGCTAAGATCAATAGTCTCTGAACTGCGTCACCTCGTATCACATTCAGGCCACCATCTCTGCATATGCACATTTGATGTTATGTTGTTTTAAAACATTTAAACAGTCACTGTTTAAATGTTTAAACATATGGTTTGATTTGTACCAGGGGCTACCATAGTTTTAATTTCACCTTAAATGTACAAAAACATCCTCCACGAAGGAAAGAAGGGAAGAAAGAAAGATGTCCAAAATATGTAAGAAACGCTAACTACACCCAGTGACTCAATAGCCATAGAATATCCACCTCCTTCAATAACAGTCCTTAAATTAGTCACTGTCTGCATGCCATCTTCTGTCTTGCGTCATGTGGATATATTATAGGCCACTTTTCCTTTCAACGTCTTCTGTTCTTTGAAGTTTGCGGGTTTTCGTTGAAAGTCGGCTTTAGAATCAGGCTGAGGTGTGATCTTTAACTAGGCCACTGCAAGATCTCGAAATTTTTCTTTTTCATCTGTTGTGTTTCAACCTCCGCTGAAGATGAGCGCGAGGCAGATCACAGAGTGTCTCAAACCCCAGTCTGATTGATGGGTAACCAAAACAGAAGTCAATACTGAAGCCCTCCTTCTCTGTGATCGCATTGGCAGCCGAAGACTCCAGACTTGGAAAACTGCTTGACCCGTTACACCCTGTGGAAGAAGCTTGCTAGGGTGGACTCGGGTTTTTAGCACACATCTCTTCCACGTTTGCTTGTTTTTGTTGAATAAATAATAACAAGTTGAGGTTTTGAACACTTGAAGATAGGCGATATTCAGAATGTAGAAACCAAATATTAATGTAGTGTTTTGGCTCAAAACTGTAATTTTACAATGTGGGAATTTTTTTCATCCACAGAATGAATGTCCTCTAATTGAATATTGGATATTTCTACATCTTTCAGCATCTGGTTGTGCTACTGCAATGAAATATGACTTCTTCTTTTAAGGTCCTTTACATATTTTTACCAGGGGAGCTAATTAATTTAACCTGACACTGACTTCAGAGAAAACGATATATAATAATTCTCAGTGAAATTTGAGTTACGACCGTGGGTAGGTCACGCCAAAATGCTTTATTATTTCCTGTCAAATTAGAAGGTAAAAAAAAAAAAAATCTGTCTGCGGTATGAATTATTTTTGTCATAACTGTATTACGGCTGGAAGGTGATGAGTTGTTGCTTGGTTCTTGTTAAATGAGAATTTTCTGTTTAGTTTATAGAATGTTTCACTTCCTGATTTGTTGGATAGATTACAAGAATTCATAACTGGGTTTTTTTTGTCCCTTTCATTGTCTTTTTACAATGTGCAGATAACTTGTCCATATTAGCAGCTGATATATAAGAACTTTTTTTCTAAAGAATTTCTGAGTACAACTATAATGAATAAAAATTTGAATAAACCACATCATTTTAATTCATGTCTTTTTTAATGTTTAGTAAATAATTATAAACATGTCTAAAAATGTACTTAACCCACATGTCTTCCCTTGTGACATAATTGCACAATAACTACTTCAATCTTGGCGTATTACACAATTTCTTCATACAGTTTCATGCAAACCTATCGGGCTTCTTTTCCAAAAGCTCAGGAAGTGCTAAAGGTTAAGGTTAAACATGGGACTTGCTCGAAACAAAGAGTACACCTGCGCATGTTTGCTCGACCCACACGCACACCAGAGCCTCGCCGCAAGATGTGGAAGGCAGCAGGAATGAGGCCCCTGAATGGGGGAGCAGGAAAGGTGGGTGAGGAAGTGGTGATTTTCATCTACGTACTCCTACACAGAAGACAAATGTGGGTGGCAAATAGAAATGCAACATGTTCTCATTTTGGCAAATTTCATGCATATTGTTAGATTTTTGCCGTCGGGCGTAAGCTGCTGCAGTGCACATTGTCCTTGATTTTAGTAGAGCTTACTCAACCGCATTCTTTCTTTTATAGACACCGTGTAATCAAAATATTGCTATAATTTAGAAAAAAAATACGTACTATTATAATAATATTGCATGAAATGACAGTTAATTCATTCTGCACTTCGTCGAACTTCGAACACAGAAAACAAAGAGTTGTACCACATCTTTCCACTATTACTAATACTAGTGGTTTATCATTTGTGGTAATAAACTTTTGCATAAAGGAAACAAATACAATAGGAGGAAAATACACACATACATATATACAACTGGAGTTTAGACAATATAAACTCCAAAAATCCATAGAATTATCTCAAAGGCAGTATGAAATGCAGCCAAAATGAAACCATTAATGCTGAATCTGAACATAAAGTCCACCACCAAAGACTCGAGAGTCATTTTGCAGGAACATCCTCATCAGGTGAGAGAAAACGGGTCTTTTTATAACCCCTTATGCTTGGTTTTTCTCTGCGGTTTGGCTCAGGTGTTGCTGCTGCTATTCTCGGCTGTCTTGGAGGAGGCGGCGGAAGTATACAGATAATCCTTAAACAGGCTCATCACTCTCTTCTTGTACGTCTTTATGGCAAAGAAGTAAATGACAGGATCCAGGCAGCAGTTGATGTTCATTAACGAGACTGTAATCTGTGGATTTGATTGCAAAAATTGATTACAACAAAGAAGGAAAAATTAAAAAAAACAAACAAAAAACAAAAATAGAAGAACGTGTGACGTCAACAGAGAGTATGTCTCTTACCTGCAAGGACATCTTAAAGGCTGTGAGTTCCTCGCAAGTCGGCTGATGGCTGATCTTTCTGAACATGAACTGCATTATGTTGAGGTGGTATGGGCTGAAGCAGAGAACAAATGTGAGAAGGATGAGGAGGATGATCGTGTTGGCCCTGTGGTTTCGGCTCGTTCGGCCCGTCACAGAGTTCTTCTTGGCCGCATCCCGCAGTTTCAGATTGATCCGAGCGTAGCACGCCATTATGACCGTGAGCGGGCAGCAAAAAGAGAGGAAGCACGCCAGGATTAGGAGGTAAGGGGTGCAGCGAGAGCCCTCGAAGTTAAAGTACTCCATGCAGGTCCGCTTATCGCCCCTCACGTGCAGCATGCTGCGGAATAACAACGGGGAGACCTGCAGAGAGACGAGAAACCAGACCAGGCAGCAGACCCTGCGGACGACTTTTGTGCTGCGTAAGCACTGCAGGCGGTGAGGATGCACCATAGCTAGGTATCTGTCCAGGCTGATGCAGGTCATGAAGCCAATGCCTGTTGGAAATGGAGAGGATTGGCATCGGATTAAAAACAATCACTTGCAGAAGCAATTTCACAATCTACTCCCTTTAATTTGGTCATATAACTGTGCCACTTTAACATATAAATAAAGTAAACTCTTGTGTTATAAGGGTGTATGAAGCTTCATGTCACCTGCATATGTATTTGCAAAGAAGAGAAGTGTGGTGAGTCTGCAGAGGAGGTCACCGAAGGGCCAGTCAAAGTGACGGATGTAGTAGGTGATTCTACCCGGCAACGCCAGCGTGAAAAGAGCGTCAGACAGCGCGAGGTTCACCAAGTAGATCGACGTGGAGTTGAACTTCTGCTTCCTCTGGCAGATGACACAGAGCACCAGGCAGTTCCCACACACGCTGATGATAAAAACGACAGAGTAGAAAATAGGGAAGAGGACCACTGCGGCCCTCTGGTAGACGAAGACGTCACAGCTGCTGCCGTTCGGAGAGGCGTCAGTGGGACCCGAGGTAAAGTTCTCAGCAGCCATTTCAACCTGGACAAGAAAGAGAGAATCACATAGTTAATGGCGCGTCTTTTCATAGACAGAAGCAAATACACAAAAGTGCAATCCACCAATTGAGATCAAATCAACACACAATACTTACAAGGATCGGGAAAGCAGTGGAGGTACTTTACTGTCAGTGCTGCTGAGGCTTTGTGTTCAGCTTTTACTGTGAGCTGAGAGGCTTGAAGCACTTTATAACTGGGCCATATCTATGAGGTGTTCAAATCCCACCTCTTCTCTTCATCCAGTCTTTCAAGCTTTGTCACGTTACCTACAGAAGTTAGTTGCCTCAGTGCTACAGGCGGGGCACACCCCCACATATACCCACACACACAGATGTGAACTCAGTGGAAGTCCAACACATCGACTTAAAAAATGTTTTACAGAATGTCACATTCCCAACAGCTGCCAAAAAGGCACTCAGTACAAAAGGTGCGCACACGTCAAAAGGGGAATATGTTGACATTAACTTCACATGTTTATGTGTTTGTGTTGTTGCAAAAACCAGGCGTACCCCTGTGAGCCACGTTATAAGTACAATTGTTCCAGTTCAAGGACTTTTGCCTCATTGGTCATTCAAAGTGCAAATAGCAATACGAGCTAATAATAGTATTTTTTTTCTGTCTGCTTTGCACTTTCAGAAACAGTAGAAGCATGTTAAGGAACAGAGGTTTGACATTACTCTGTGTATGAGGAAGACTTAATGAGATGGAAAAGTTCAAAATAGAATCAGTTCTGTTTATCATATAAGGCAGCCATATTGAATATTTAGTTTGAGATTGGTCAGTCTATTTACCCAAGCCTCCTCCTTGAAGCTGCAGACCCCAGCCAGGATTTTTGCCTCAGAGCATCCTTCTGCTTCTCCAGTAGGAGGCGCTGCCACTCAGCTCCTCCAGACTAGTGACAGCAAATAGCAAGCACCTGTTGGAACTCATCAGAGGAATTACTTCTCAGTCCAAAGCTCCTAAGAACAATAGTAAACAGCATATTGGAGGAGGATTGTTGTGATGACGTTTTGAAGGGGGAGCATTAGAAATAGTGGGAGCTTCTTAAAGAGACAGAGAAATTTGATTCCAAGGGATCAAATTTCAAAGTCACATTTCTTTTAAGCTATGTTTGACACATGCAGCGTTTTTATTGGAACTGGTTTTAACATTGTTACTTAATTGTGGTATAAGATGGCATAGTGTTCATGAAACATACATAATACTGCCCTTTTAAATATTTAAATTGACAAAGGAAGATGATGGTTTTAACATAACTCAGGACACCACAAGTAAGCTGAGTATCAAAAACTGTACTGAGCTGTTGGTCTGGGATGCTGCTCTGAGGTTTTAGACATAAGTTCTCCATTTCACAATCTAACCTCTGAATGAACTTTCCTTGGATGCCTAATCCTGTTTTGAGTCATTTCTGTTTGTCTCCAGTCTCTTTGTCTGCTGAAATATGGACACCTTTTAGCTTTTTTCAGTTTTCCCTTGTTGACATCATGCTACTTGTTTGTTTCTAAAACCTTACCCTCAAACTGTCAAAAGTTGCTCTTATAAATGTACTTAAACCTTATGAATGTTCAGTTATGTTCTTCTGCTTTTGCATACTTTGCTTCTTGATTTTGTACTCGATGTTCACTCAATACTTATCTTCATAATTCAGATGCGTTTTTACAAGCCCAGCTAAAGAGTCTGCTGACACAATATGACAACTACAATAGAAATGTTTACATTACCTGCATGTGTATTTTCAGAAGACAGAAATGCGGTTACAGAGAAGGTCACACAGTGATTAAAGCCATGGATGTGGTGAGGAGCTCTGCTGAGAAGCACCAGTTTGATCAGATATCGGAGCGACAGTGCTTCCTCTGGCAAGTGACGGTTTCAGTCTCTGCTGTTCGTGTGGTGTATCTTTAGGATCCCCAAATATTTCCTCATGAACATGTTTTTTTTTTTTGTATCAGCATGACACCAAAAAGTGATAACGTTTCACTTTCTGGTTGTATTCCAGATGGCAGACATCAGACACATCTATGCAATTAGAACTTTTCATTGTATGAATGGATTTCACAATTAAATTTAACTTGCTTCGTATCCTCCTAAATATTCTCTTTGCATCATTTAAGGCTCGCATTGAAGTTTTTTTTCTAGAACATGTCAGTGCACGAGTCCTCAGTATAAATATAACAGTCATCCTATTTTGAATACATTGCGTGATGATGACTTTGAAGCTTCCAAGCATGAAAACACCATGGACCTGTGGAGTATGACGCTGGTTTGGTCATTGGTGCCATTTAAACAACAGATAAAATCGTGGCGATAGAACGTTATTGGGAACGTTTCAACTAACCAGTTTTAGGGTCGTAAATAAATAAAAAATATAATAAAATATAATAAAAATCACAATAAACCAAATTACTAAGTAGAAACTCCCACAATAAGACTAGTGGAGACCTCTGCAGTGAAGAACTGGAAAAGCACCATAAAGGAGGTGTATGCATTCTCTGCTGATCTCAACGGGTTTTCAAAAAAACAAGTCCACTTGTTCAACATAAAAATATCATATCCAGCAGTAAAAAGCAGTAGATGTATCACTGTGTTTTTTGGGGGAAGGGGTAACGGTTAGATGGAGAGATAGTGAGGTTTTATATTAAGTTCCTGTCACTGAGGTTTCTCAAGCTTGCGAGCTGTAGAGTTGGGTTGAACGCAGGCAGCTCCCTGGCGATGCTGGTGGAAGATACGAGAGGAAGCTGAAGCATTATCGGTGTCTGTACAAGAACTAAAACCGTCGTCGTTCTGTGATGTGTGGATGAGTCACCAACAGTCAGAGTCACATTTACAGAGACGTGCCAACCACCGGCACAACAATCAAAATGTGAAAATATGCTAAAGGTGAAAAAAGAGACACATTTTTTCACTTTCCCATTAAGTAGCTTTGACTTCTGAGAAGAATGATAGATGTAGAAATACAGTTGCGTAAGTTTGCTTCGTGTAAAAAAGTCAGGAAGCCGCAGTGCGGGGCCTCTCTTGGCAGCTGAATTGTGAACTTATTAAAAATACGGAGACGTTACAGGCAAATGACTTAAAATACAAGTCAAACTATGACTGAACAACAGAAAAGATAAGAAGTAACTCAAAATGCCACAACCGGAAAACTCCAGTTGTATCATGTTATTATTGTACATGCCGGAGGTACTTTCCTATGAAACCAAACAATTCTGGGTAATCTATTAAAACCGGATGATGCAAAGTTATTAAGTGTAAGACTGATTTTTCAATGCATCTGTGACAGCCAAAGACAGCCTTCTACTGTGCAAGGCGTCTCCAGACTTAATTCGCCTCATTTCAGGTCAAAGTTCATGGTTCAACACGAAGAAGAAAACGGGTCTTTCAAGACTGATTTAAAAGAATTTCTTCTTAACTTTAATAAATGGAGTCATCACTTGAAAAATGTATCTTGTACTTAACCTCAATCGAATATTAAAAACACACAAGTACGACAAAACAGCGAAAAAAAGCAAAACGTAAGGGGATAAAGTACTTTTCCACAAGGCTGCACTGTGACAAATCTTCTCCTACTTCACATGTGGCCTTTTTTTTCTGCCACTACTTCTACCTTTTCTCCTCACATTGGACCCGGTGCACTCTCTCCCCTGTCCTGCCAGCCAATAGTAGTTAGAATTACAGTAGAAGCCTTCGGTGCTGTATCTCATCGCGTGTCCTCGCTGAAAAACGTCATGCAAGTGTAATTTAAAAGGATGGCTGCTGGATCAGCAAAAGGTCACTAATTGTCACCAGTCAAATGCAGTTATAATACAGCTCACTTAGGTCACGGCTAAACACTCCATGCAGACAGTGTCACCCACAGGTTAGGAGCCTGCTGCACTTAAGGCCTGCATTTCATGCTCCATTAATTCTGTGCCTAGAGTTAAACATCTCATACCAAGTGAACGGTGCTGTGAAAAAAGGAAAGGACAGCCGTCTGTTGGGGCCCCACCAGGTGTCCCCAAGGGTCTCTCGGTGTTAAATGCTGCAGCGTCCAATGAAGACATGGAAAGAATGAGATAATTGTTGCTCCCCGTGTACGCTCTCCGCAGTTACAGGGGTAACTGTGAAAAAGTTATGCAACTGACTTCAGTTGGAAAAATCAGCCAGAATCTACGATTTCAATCCACCAGCGTAGAAAGCTGCTTCGAATAACTTTTGGGATTTCATTTTGTTTCCTGAGAAGTTGCCTCAGGAAGCGTGTCGTGAAGTGTTTTGGAGTTTTCCGGGTTGATGGCTGTGTGACATGAAAGGTCTTAGGAAATTGAAAGTGACGACCCAGCATGGAACACGCATGGAAGTCACTTCTCAGAAATGTGACCTTTTTCTGCATGTTAAGTCAGGGGTGGGCTTAAAAAAAAAAAGTGGAGGGGGAGGAGAAGGGTAGGGTAGAACAAACTGATTTGAAGAGAGTTATACAATAGTGAATGGTGCAGTTCAAGCCCATAGAAGGACAACCCCGGAAGGCATATCGCTTTAAAGGCACCCTCGTGTTGGAAGGGAGACCAGTGGTGTGTTGGTGAGCCAAACTGGGAATGACTTCTGGTGTCCACAACATGTGTGGAAAAGCCAGCGTGGTTCCACAAACCGGTGCCTAACCAGATCTGGAGTGTTTTTTTGCTGCCAAAATGAATTCTGTAAGAAATCCACCCAACACCATCCCCACCCCTCCTATCACCACATGTACACTCCAACTTTGGGGTCAGTTTATCACACTAACTTGGCTGCTCCTGTTAGCCAAGGCAGCTAGAAAATAAAATTAGTACTGAAGGAAATGAATTGATTCTCAGTGAAATTAGAATCTAATCAAAAATGTTGTTTATTTTAGTAATTCAATTCAAAATATGAAATGTCTATGTTTTTACAAGGATGTGTTTCTGTTAGATTTGATGATTAGGACTTCAACACATCAAAAAAAATAAAAATAAAATATAAAAAAAAGACCTGCTTTGGCAATGTGAAAACTGCATACTCTTCACAATAGGTCATTGCAAAAGAAAATGGCTGCTCTTATAATATGAGAGAAGAGAGCATTTAATAGAAGGAAAAAAGGGTGAGGCAAAACCTATTCAAGAGGTTTAGGAGACAGTTATTCAAGAATTATCCCACACAGATGTGACAAGGATATGATTTGCAACTGTGCCGTCACTTGTATTAAACCAGTCCTCAGCCAAAGAACATGTGAGGAACATCTCACCTATGCAGAGGGGGGGAAAAGGCTAAACTGCAGCTCAGTGGTTTCTGTCTATGATTTGAGTTCGTGACAGAAAGGCTGCAGAAAAGTTTGGTCCCCGAGGGCCAACATCAGCTGGGGTCATGGGGCTATTTTGGAGCACATCACGCTTCTGTCTTTTACAAATCCTTATGGAAATTCTGATTTTATTGTCCAACAGAGCCTTGCACCTGCCCGCCCTACTCGAGGTAGCAACAATACAGAAGAGGTGAAGAGTGCTGTTAAAGCAACGGGCTTTCTTCACTTCTCAGAAGCGCCACAGTCTGATCTCCATGCCATGTTGTATTGT